AATCAAAAAAAAATCTACACCTAGACATATAATAATCAAGATCACAGGAACCCAACAGAACAACAAAATACTACAAACAGTAAGAGAAAAGAAACAAATCACATGCAAAGGAAAACCCATCAGAATCACAGCAGACTTTTCAACACAAACCCTCAGGTCAAAGAGAGCCTGGAGTGAGGTATTTCAAGTCCTAAAAGAAAACAACCTACAACCTAGACTGATGTATCCTGCAAAATGGATGGGGAAATAAGATACTTCCATGACAAAGAACACCTGAGAAACTTCATGAATACCAAACCAGCACTACAAGGAATTCTAAACAATACCCTAGAAAAAGACAATGAAGATCACAACACCATGAGGCCCAACAGAGCAAATTAAATAGCCAAGACAAGAAACTAAAAGGAGAGGGCAAAAAATTAAAAAGAGTCAACAAAAAGACAATAACATGACAATAAGAAGTCAGTACATATCAGTTATAACCATCAATGTCAATGGCCTCAATTCACCAATCAAGACAGATAGACTGGCAGAATGGATTAAGAAGCAAAATCCAACAATATGTTGTATACAAGAAACACACCTAGTGCAAAAAGAAGCCCATAGACTGAAAGTGACAGGGTGGAAAACAATTCTCCATGCGACAGGAGCCTAGAAAAAAGCAGGGGTAACAATCTTATTCACAAAGTAAATTTCAAACCAAAACTGATGAAGAAAGACAAAGAAGGTCACTACATTCTTGTAAAGGGAACAATTCAAGAGGAAGAGATGACAATCATAAACATATATGCATGAAATATAAATGCCCCCAACTATATAAAACAAATATTAAGTAACATGCAAAACCAAATAAGCACTAATATAATTGTAGGGGGGATCTAAATACCCCACTATCACAAATAGACAGATCATCTAGGCATAAAATCAACACTGAAATACTAGAACTGAACCAATCTTTGGAACACATGGACTTATTAGATGTCTATACAGTGTTCCACCCCACAAAATCAGAATATACATTCTTTTCAGCTGCACATGGGTCATTCTCCAAGATAGATCACATACTGGCTCACGGAACAGGTTTGAATGAATGCAAAAGAATCGAAGTTATTCCCTGTATGTTATCAGATCACAGTGCAATAAAGCTGGAGATCAATAGCATAAGAAACCCTAGGAACTTCACAAACACATGGAAATTGAACAACACTCTTCTGAACAATCAGTGGATCACAGAGGAAATCAAAGAAGAAATCAGACAGTTTTTACAAATAAATGAAAACGCCAGGACAACATACAGGAATCTGTGGGACACAATGAAAGCAGTTCTACCTGGAAAATTCATAGCACTGAATGCCCACACTAGGAAAATAGAGCAAACTCAAATAAACACCCTAATGATGAATCTTAGACTCCTGGAAAAACAGGAGCAAGAAAAACCCAAGACTTGAACAAGAGGAAATTATAAAGATTAGAGCAGAAATCAATGCAATAGAAACTAAGAAAATGATACAAAAAATAAATGAAACAAAGAGTTGGTTTTTTGAAAGAATAAATAAAAAGCATAATAAATAAATAAAAAGCAAACCTTATAAAAAAAAAAAAAGGAACGATAAGGCTCAGATCCATGCAGTCAAAAATGAAAAAGGCAAAGTCACAACAGATCCCACAGAAATCCAGAGGATCATTAATACTACTTTGAGAACCTGTACTCTAATAAAATGGAAAACACAGAAGAAATGGACAGATTTCTAGATACTTATGAATTACCAAAGTTGAACAAAGAAGATAAAAACATTTTAAATACCCCAATTACAATTGGTGAAATTGAAAATGTAATTAAAAACTTAGCAACAAAGGAAAGCCCAGCTCCTGATGGATTCACTGCTGAATTTTTTTACAAGACATTTAGAGAAGAACTACTGCCATTACTCTTCATACTTTTCAATGACATTGAAAGGGAATCAATACTTCCAAATTCATTCCTGGGAGCAAGTATCACTTTGATTCCCAAACCAGGGAAAGACACAACTAAAAAAGAGAACTACAGGTCAATCTCCTTAATGAATATAGATGCAAAAATCCTTAATAAGATACTAGCAAACAGAATACAGAGGATTATCAAGAAGATCATACATCCTGACCAAGTCAGATTCATTCCAGGGATGCAAGGGTGATTCAACATACGTAAATCAATAAATGTAATACACTATATTAACAAAGTCAAGGACAAAAACCACATGATCCTCTCGATAGATGCAGAAAAAGCATCTGACAAAATTCCACACCCATTCATGATAAAAACCCTGCAAAAAATTGGAATAGATGGTCTATATCTCAACTTAATAAAGGCTATCTATGAAAAACCAACAGCCAACATCATATTAAATGGCCAAAAACTGAAAACCTTCACATTAAAATCAGGAACAAGCCAAGGATGCCCATTATTACCACTCCTCTTTGATAAGGTTCTG